CCGCCTTGGGACGATTTATTTCGAGGTCATCCAACAAGAGCCAACGTTTCTTATCACTGTTGAAGAAAAAGAATAACTTCTCGTGGACCCCAAATTGCCAACGGGCCTTGGAGGATCTCAAGCGATATCTATCAAGCCCATCGCTGCTTCACACATCACAAACAGACGAACAACTATATATGTACTTACCAGTATCGGAGATAGCGGTAAGTGAAGTCCTGGTATGCGAAGAGAAAGGTACACAATTTCCAATTTACTATGTTAGCAGGACTCTTGGCGAGGCCAAAACTAGGTACCCTCACCTAGAAAAGCTGGCGCTCACTTTGCTAAACGCCTCTAGGAAGCTAAAACCGTACTTTTAATGTCACCCCATATGTGTAGTAACCACTTACCCATTGAGTAATGTAATGCATAAGCCCGAGCTCTGAGGACGGTTAGGCAAATGGGCCGTAGAGATCAGTGGGTATGACATCGAATATCGGCCTCGGACCGCCATTAAGTCTCACATTTTGGCAGACTTTGTGGCCGAATTTACACCGGCCCTAATACCCGAGGTCGAAAGAGAGTTGTTGAACTCGGGGACTTCTTCGGGTATGTGGACCCTCTTTTCGGATGGCGCCTCTAATGCGAAGGGTTTCGGACTCGGAATTATCTTGAAACCACCTGCATGTTATGTAGTTAGACAATCTATTTGGACTGTAAAATTAACTAACAATAAGGCCGAGTATGAGGCCATGATTGCAAGTCTCGAACTGGCCAAAATCTTGGGCCATAGGTGATCGAAGCTAAGTGCGACTCCCTCTTTGTGGTGAACCAAGTTAATGGGATGTTCGAAGTCAGAAAGGAACGAATGCAAAGATATCTTGATAAACTGTAGGTAACGTTACATCGGTTCAAGGAGTGGACTCTACAACATGTGCCTCAGGATCAAAACAACGAGGTCAATGCCCTTGCTAACTTGGGATCGTCGGTCGATGATGATGAGTTCAACTCAGGGGCGGTCGTATAACTCATGAGATCGGTAGTGGAAGAAGGTCACGTCGAGATAAACTCAACAAGCCTAACTTGGGACTGGAGAAACAAATATATAGAAGATCTGAAGACCGAAAAACTGCCTTCGGACCCTAAGGAATCGAGGACTCTGCATATGAAGGCGGCCCGGTTCAGCCAGTTCGAATACGGTACATTGTTCCGGAGAACGTTCGATGGCCCACTCGCAATATGTCTCGGGCCCGGAGACACCGAGTATGTTCTGAGGGAAATCCATGAAGGCACCAACGGAAATCATTCGAGCGCCGAATCATTAGTTCAGAAAATAATCAGAGCCGGCTACTATTGAATCATTAGTTCAGAAATGCTCCGATGATTCATCAACCTAGGAATTTGCTACATTCGGTCTTGTCGCCCTGGTCGTTCATGAAATGGGGGATGGACATCTATTGTTTATGATTGACTATTTTTCTAAATGGGTGGAAGTCCAGGCGTTTGAGAAAGTCATGGAAAATGAAGTCATTGATTTTATGTGGGACCACATAATATGTCGGTTCGTAATGCCGGATGAGATCGTGTGTAAAAATGGCAAGCAGGTCATCGACAGCAAAGTAAGCAAGTTTCTCGAAGATCATAAGATCAAAAGAACCTTGTCAACACCCTATCACCCTAGTGGGAACGGGCAAGCGAAGTCCACGAACAAAACCAAACTCCAAAACCTCAGAATGAGATTGACCGACGCCAAAGGAAAATTAAAAGAACTCTTTCCCGAGGTCCGATGGACTTATCGTATGACCTCGAAGTCCAGTACCGGGGCCACCCCATTCTAGGCTCGAAAATGTTCTAGTTGGTCTCCTAGAACTGTTAGATGAAAGGTGCGAAGCCGTCCTCGTCCGAATGGCCGCCCAAAAATAACAGATCGAGAGGTATTACAATCGAAGAGCAAACCTTCTACACTTCAATGTCGGGGACATAGTGTTGAGGAAGGTCACATTAAACACCCGGAACTCGAAAGAAGGGAAGCTAAGTCCGAGCTGGGAAGGTTCGTATCAGATTATCGAGATCACCGAAAAAGGGTCGTACAAAATTAGATCAATGAACAATGAGCGACTACCGAACAACTAGAACATAACTTACTTGAAATGATATTACTGCTAAGGTACGACACCATTTATTTCTTTTATTTATTTACATTTTGGACTAACACTTGTAGGCAACCGTTAAAGAACGATACAACTTTTTAGGCCTGAAAGCTCGTGTTGCACTCTTTTTCCCTTGAACCGGTTTTGTCCCAAATGGGTTTTCCGGAAAGGTTTTTAACAAGGCACCAGTGGATCGTGCTAACTTAGAACCGAAGACCGGTTGTCAACAGTATCCGAGGCTTCTCTATGATCGACCTCGAATACTGGGGGCATCACTGTCAGATAACGATTATTGCAAGGAAAGAAACTTTGTGCTCGAATAGTCTAGGCTCGATCGATAGGATTTACTGTAAGGGCCAAACGGTCAAATGAACTGTGCCCACATAGACTGCCCGAGCATGGACACAAATCTTGAACACATGTATAACTTCGTATATTACACACAAAATTAAAAGGAAGTTTCTACCTTGAGATAAATATTTTGCCCTTGAAAATTTTTCTTTCTTATATTTGATCCCCTAAAGACATCGAGCCCAAGGGCCACCTCACTCGGTGACTGTTGCCCAAGACAGATTCGAATAGCCATGGATAATGAAGTTCGGGGGCACTAAACTTATTTGGCAGTATCCGAACTTTAAAGGCTACGGCCACCCCCATTCGGGAATGGTTATCTCGGTTAAGCCCGGATGATTTGGGATAACAAGCCCACTAGGCAACACCCAAACTAGAAAGGCTATGTCCGTCTTAAAATGGCTCGGAGACGTCCAAGACCCATAACCAAAAAAAAGGCCTTCAAAATTTCTAAGCTGGTTCAAAAGGCTACCCTCGTCGAATTGTAATCTAAAAAATTCTCAGTACTTTGGGGAAAGCTTCGATTCATACTGAGCCCCCCACGAGTTTCAAACAAAATAATATCGAAAATAAGGCTTGTTCGAACCTCCGAACAAGACCTAATTACTACGTGCTAAGGCGTTCGATATCTTTACAATCACAAGGAAAAAGGTGAAAGGAAACGAGCTTTAAAAGTACAAAAGTACAAAAACAAGAAAAATTCTACAAGGTACTTAAACGGCTTGGTCTCTACCGGAGCCTGCCACGTCGGCGAGACCATCAGAGTCTTTTCTGCCCCCGGATCCGTCCGAGCCACTAAGCATTTTTGACCTCGACCGACAAATCAAAACACTGAGCATGAACTTCCTCGAGGGCCTCCCTTCGGGACTGCCACTTCACATACTCGACAATATCTTTTAGGTGGTCCTGGTCTGCCTCGGCATCAGCTTTATACTGGGCTACCATCTCGTCGGCTTCGACTTTTGTTACTTCAACCACCGACTTGGCCGCCTTAAGCTCCATGGTAAGGGTCTCTCGATCAGAAACAACCAAGCTTAGCCGAGACTGGAGATCCTCAATCTTTTTGGACCGTGCCTCAGCCTTCTCCCTCGTCGCTCGAAGCTGCAACTCTGCCGAGGTTAACTGTGCCCGGACAGTCTTCTTTTCCGAGGCTAGGCGGTCCATCCTGCCTCTCTACTTTTTGACCTCGACCTTGACTGCATCCATCTTGGGTAGGAGCTCGTTGATCCGATCAATATTCTGTTGAACCTGCGGGTTCCGACCATTAGACAACGTGTCTAGCTCATCGTCACTAAATTCAAAAAAAATTACATGTTCAACCAGGTCCACGTGTTATTTCTGAGCCGCTTCTAACTCAGCTCGAAGGCTCTTAGCCTCTCCTTCACGCTACTCGTTAAGAAGTTTGAATGTGTGTCTCTCTTCTTAGTAAGCTCTCTCACTTCGGCTTCGAGTTGGTACATCTCATCCCGGTACCGGAGGAAAATTCAAGGTGAAGCACCTAAGCCTACAAATACGAAGAAAAATATTAAGATTATCAATGAATTAATTTAAGTATAAAAGGATAAATTGAAATCATCGAGAGTTATCTAAAGTTACCCGGTTCAGCACCTGTTGTGCTTCGTTGAACAGGAAGGGCGCATCTACCTCGTTCATTTTGGCCTGATCTTCTTTGATCACCAGGCACCAAAGGTAACTGGCCACCCTATGGGGACGGAAAGAACCCGGGCATCCTCCGGAACGGTAATGATAATGGACTGCTTCAGATCAGGATCTACACTCGGGGCAAGGAACCAATTGACCAATTTCGGGCTCGAGTTAGGACCGCCTGCCCCCGAGGTCGGACTCTTATATGGTACCTCTATGGTACCCAATCCCGTGACGTCTTCTGTGGCAGTGGAATCCACGCAATCAAAAAAGCAGCGGAAGGGTCGTCCGCCCTGTGGGCCCCCTCGTTGGGAAAATTTTTCACTATTTGGACCTCGTTGTACATGGACTCGGTGAACGAGGGCGACTGGATGATGTCTATCACACCAAGTAATCAATATTCACCGGGTCCACCGGGCCTAGTGTAAAGGGATAAGTGTAAACACTTAAGTATCCCTCGACATAAGTGGTAATGGCCACATCGGGGTCGGGGACCACTATGTCCTTATCGGCCCAGTTGCAATCTTTTTGGACCTTATGGAGGACCTCTTCGGGGATCGAGCAGATGTATCTCGAGACCTCCTCACAACGGCCCTGTATTGAGGAAGGCTTTTCGACCTTGAAATCGACGTTGACCGAGCATCCCCCGAGGATGAACATTTTCAAAGGGGGTACAAGTACTGGTTCATCGACAGCCGCGCGCGGAGCGGTCCCCTCGGCCTCAATAGCCGGCCCCGAAGAAGGAGTTTCTTTCTTGGGAATGGTTTTGAAAGTTTTTTCCATTTCTTCAGAGAATGATAATGGAGGAAAATTTGAGAAAGGACAAGAAAGAAAGGAAGTTGAAAGATTAGACTTTTTGTTTTGAGAATGAAGATGGGTAAAGATTCTTGCACAGGACCTCGAATAACCGGGGTAAAAGTGCTAAATACTATTGAAATTTTAAAGGTACGAGGGTAGAAGTTTTGGATGTAAAGTTAAAATGAACGAAGAAGGGGATATTTATAGTAGTTCAGCTGCGTTTCGCATTCAGGAACGGCCGACCGGCGGCTGACATGCATTTAATACCATTGTGACTTGACTGACGAGATGTTTCGGTTATTTTGTCGTTTATGTCACGATGTATCGAAATAAGAATCAGAAGCTCATGTCGTTTCTCGTCGTTTACTCTCCAAAAAAATGAGGGTCTACCTGTATACGGGTGAAATCGAGCACATGGTGCATCCTACCCTCCGACAAAATAAGCCAGATTCGAGACATGGCAACAAGGGACTGAAAATTGAGCCAAAGTCCCACCGGGCCAGAACCTAGGGGCATGACGTCTGCCTTCGAGAATATCGAGGTCATGGTCCCGGAATCGGTCTTAGCCTCGATCGACTTCGAAAGACATTGTCGGACAATCCAACATAGCCAACAGAAGGCCGAAATATCCGTAACCGACCCGAATATTACGGCGGGGATCTCAGCACATATCGGCGAGGAACCGGCAATCAGTGAATTAGAAGATTTTTTACCTTTTATAGAGTTGTACCTAAAATAGGACTCCCCTACTATATAAAGGTGGTCTGATAATTCATGAAACATATGGTAACACGCACTCAAAAGCAATTATATTATTATTTTCTTTGTCTACAGCTTTTGTTCTTTCTCATCTCTGTGAGCTCGGTTCGAGAATGGTTATTTCATTAAGGCTGAAACTATCCAACTCGTGTGATTTGAGTTTACTTTTGTCTTTTTTTATTCAATAGCAATTTAATTTATTTGTTTGTACTAATTAATCTGTATATCGTTAAAACCACTAATAAATTTAATTGTTATCCATTTTGAAGGTAAACAAACAGTATTGTAGTGAAAGTCGAACCTACTTTAAATTATTTTATTTTGATCTACGTAATGCTTATAAGTTTGTTCCATCAAATAATTTCAAGAAACAGGACCTCGGGAAGAACTTTTGTTTTAAGTTGAAAAGAATAGGTGGCTGGCTTAAACGGAACCTACAAACCAGCACCTGTATAATCAAGATTGAAGTGTTCAAACAAGCACTGCAACACGTGTATTTCCAACTTCTAATATATTGACCGCACTGCTCCTTCTTTTTCCTTCCTGGCGCTATTTAATGGAGCTCGATATGATACCCAGTATTCAGTGGAAAAAAAATGTATACTAACTCGTTGGAAACGGAAAAAAATGAGTCAAGAACAACCAATAAAATATGGGGACGTGTTCGAGGTCTCAAGCCAACTTGCTTCAAAACCTGTAGCGCCACAAGATGCAACTATCATGCAGTCAGCTGAGAGTATAGCACTAGGTCATGTTCCAAAAGGGGGTCCTGCATCAATTATGCAGTCAGCCACCGCTCAGAATGAGCGTATTGGTGCCGTAAGCCGTGATGACATGACGGATATCGCCAGAGATGAAGGTGTCACCGTCTCTCAAGCAGAAGTTGGGGGTACTCGCTGTTGAGGTTTTTTGTTTTTAAGATAAAATAGTCTTAAAATGAGGGTGAATGGGAAATGGAGGGAAAATAAAATTTTTGAGTAAAATTTTAAGTTTCCCCCTCTTGACAATGAGACATTGTCCCATATTGGAAGAGGAAAAGATTTTTGGTGGGTATATATATATTTGCTCTTCTTGTAGCTCTTAAAGAGTTAAGAAGAAAGCAAGTCTCGCGCCGTCGCTCGGCTTCGGCTTCGGCTTCGGATTTTTGGACCAAATTTATTTGTTAATAGTAAATATTAACGTAAGATTATCCCCATTTATAATGGATATTTTCCAATCCGTGTATTGAACAACCATACATGGGAAAGAGGCAGTCAATAGTGAAATAGAATCCATATTGAACAACCATACATGGGAATTGGTTGANAAATCACATATGTAAGTGTGAAGTGTTAGCTGCTTCAAGGAGAACTTTGTAAGGCCAGTTCTCTACGCACTTATGAAACCAGGCGGTGTTCATGGCTGAAACGAACACAACAATGAGAACCAAAGACGGTTAAGAATTGATTGTGTGACTTATGGTTGTCTAGGTATACACCAAAGATCGACGGTTCAAAGATATCAAATCTACCGATTGACCGAGTATATCCGACATAAGTTTACTACGGAAAGTTCAAAGGGAAACCTACTTATCCAGATGCGATTAATCCTTGCTTGTAAATCACACAGTTTTTCATGCATACTTCCGTGATATAGCCATTCCCCATTCATGTGGGGGATTGTTGAGGTTTTATTTTTAAGATGTAATATTCTTAAAATGAGGGTGAATGGGAAATGGAGGGAAAATGAAATTTTGAGTAAAATTTTAAGTTTCCCCCTCTTAACAATGAGACATTGTCCCATATTGGAAGTGGAAGACATTTTTGGTGGGTATATATATAATTGCTCTTCTTGTAGCTCTTAAAGAGTTAAGAAGAAAGCAAGCCTCGCGCCGTCGTCGTCGTCGCTCGCTCGGCTCGGCTTCGGCTACGGCTACGGCTTCGGCTTCGGCTTCGGATTCGGATTTGGATTTGGATTTGGTCAAATGATCGATTGATTGATTAATTTTTTTAGACCAAATTTATTTGTTAATAGTAAATATTAATGTAAGATTATCCGTATTTGTAACGGATATTTTTCAATCCGTGTATTGACCACCAGCTACAATAGCAGCCGCCTAATGCTCTTCCCACCATGAATGTGCTTGCTCCATAAATAAGTGCTTGCTCCACAAATAAGCTAGTGCATGCTCCACCATGGAGGGTGGACGATTATTCTTCTTCAACACTGGCTGCTATATATATGTGCAGCAGTTGTTGAAGAAAGACACACACAATACACAAGACACAAAACTGAAATCGCTCAACAGATTTGGCTATACATTGCACTCCTTCCTCTCAGCATTTTCATACGATTTTTTGAGTTTCTACTCCTTCGTTCTGCATTGTTTTAACTTCAAACAAAGCAACTGTAAGTGTGATTTGCTACCGAACTTTGTGTTCGCTGGAACACTGGGGTTTGAAGTACCGCTACACTAGTGTGTGATTCGTTCTATCGTGGGAGGAAATAATCCATTACCTTAGATACTAGGAGGGGATTAAATTCCTTAAGGAAACACTGTGAATTCAGTGGGCTCGAATTAATTATTGTTTCATTACGATAACTTATATTTTACAGAATTATTATTTACAAATACAGCAATATTGGCGGGACTAACACTCGCCTTGTTTCAGAAGCTGTCGGTGGCGAGGTACGTACTACTCCACTATATATCAAGATATTTGATCGGGGAGTTCATGAAGTTTAAAAAAATTATCTCTTCTTGACATATACCAAAACTAGTTTTAGGCTCATGGTTTCAAATTTGTACTAGTATGAATTATGAATATAAGAGTACTATGTTATTAAAGATAAAATGTAAAAGTTAAAGCAAAAATTCTTTAAATTAAGGAAGGTATCATTTAAGATTAAATAGGAAAAAGTGTCTAAGATGTAGTATGCACTTTAATATTTATTGGGTTAAACTGAATTCAAATATTCTAATTTGAAAACATAAAAAGTTGAACGCATATATATGTACTGCGAGTGTCATAAAGCTAAATAGGGGCGCACAAAATACTGCACTTTTGGGGGTTGATATGTATTAAAGCCAGGAAAAAAAAACATTAAAGGATTTTATCAATTTTAGGTTGTTGGACAATATATTTATCCATCAGAAGCAGGTGATGGAGAAAGAGCTGCACGATATCCTACAACAGGAGTTCAGTCCGAGTCCACTACCATAGGTGAAGCTTTGGAGGCAGTAGCACTTACTGCAGGGGATAAACCAATTGAGCAGAGCGACGCAGCAGCGATACAGGCTGCAGAAGTAAGAGCTACAGGACTAGGTGAGGTGATGCCGGGAGGTATAGGAGCAGAAGCTCAACATGCAGCTGCTATAAATGCTCGAACCACGCCAGAGGATGATAAGACTACTCTCAGTGATGTTCTAACAGTAAGTCATTTCATATGAAACAATTAACATCATTCTAGAACTTAGAAATATGTCACCCTATCTGACACGATTAGAACTCTCAGTGATGTTCTAACAGAGAACTTAAAAAGTATGCCTTTTAACTGCTGGCAAAATCGAGCCACTTTGGTTATGGCAAGGATACGAATGAGATACTTTTTCAATGGAGGGCAAGAATATTCTATTACGCGTAGTATAGGGATATGTACGTTGACCCTTTTGCGTCTTATTAGCTATAATAAAATGACCCCCGTGTAAAAGAATCAGCTAGCGGATAGAAACTAATTCTTGTTTTTTACTATTCTTTAGGATGAAACGAGCAGGCTTATAGGTGACAAGGCAGTGAAGAAGGAAGATGCAGAAGGAGTAGTGGGTGCTGAAATAAGGACTAAGAGTGACTTGGCTACACACCTTGGAGGCGTAGCAGCATCTATGGCCGTAGCATCCAGTCTGAACGAATTCTAAATCAGCGTTTGAGCACAATCCGAAATATAATGGGTCTTTTTGTCTGGGTTCTGGTCTTTGTTCCAAGCTAGTAGTTTTGTGTATACACAAAACCATCATCTGTTTTTGGGTAAAGGTATTCTCTTAGAGTGTAGGCTTGTATGGTGGTTTTGCAAGTTTTGTGAACTTTTCAGGCGTATAACTGGGGAAGTTTATGTTAATAGCAAAGTCAGCACGAGTTCTTTGGTCGATTAGAGCTTAATCCATTTCTTTCTTATCCTTTTTTTCTAATTAGCATTACTTAGATCGGATGTCAATTGAGTTCAAATGTTCCAATTATATTCATGGTCATGGATCAGTGTTGTAAAAATAAGCTATTAATTCATAAGTAGCTTAAATTCCATACTCTATACACTCTGGTAAAAAAAATAAGTGCACCTTCAAGTGTTTAAAAAGTGTGTAGCATCGGTTGTTTTGGGGTTTCTTTAATAAATGGTTCATTTGGGCACCTCTAATATATTTTGGGCACCCAATTTCAAGCTAGAAAGCCTAATGTCCACTCTTAGACGTAGAAATGACACGGGTAGCCACTATTTAAGAATTAGCAAGTGTGTCATGAATTTCAGTTTTTCAGTTCAAATTCCTGAATTATCCTGAAGTTAAAGATTTTTAGTTTAAAATTTGAGCACAAAATAAGTGTTGACTAATATCTAAATAGCATCTCTGAGAATGACTATTTGTGCACTTGCCCCACTTGGACGACCCGAAAGCCATATGGGGTAATTGAGTGATGGCAAGTATTGAACCCATAACTTGGCTGGGTCTCTGTGCAAAGCGCAGTGATCAAATTAAAAAAGATCTAATCTTTTCTACAGCTAATCTATGAGATTTCTATCTGCCATGCCACCTAATGCGATTTACTTGTATACGGTCGAAATAGATTTCGACCTTCGTACGTTTTATGGAGTTCGAATGGTAAGCGACCGAAGTGAGATTTCGAGACGAGTTTCGAAGATAGTACAAACAAGCTTCGAGCTCCAAGACCGATCGAGGAATCGGCTCGGTATCATTATCGAGCCCATGACCAAATCGAACCGCAAGGCAACGTGAAGATTGTCGGAGACGCACAGACCGATTGATACTCACCCTGAATGTCGAACTCGAATCAAGGCCGAGGGCTCGACCCAATACCGAGCTCGAGCAAGTATCGAGCTCGCAGACAAGAGCCGTTGCAACCGCACTAGGGGAGAGAATCTTGGCGGGAATCGAGGAAGAGACAATTCATCATGTGTTCTCCACTATATATTTTTTATTATAAATAAAGTAAGATCCCTTTACTATAAAAGGGGGAATCCTTGTAAGCACAAAAAAGGTTCACACATTGTAAGAAAAGACTACTTCTCTTATTGAAGAATAAATCTCTTGAGCTTGTTTTACTCAGCATACTCACTCTTCTTGTTCAATAATTTATCTCCCGTTTTTATAGCCAAGAATCTAAACATTTTCACTTCTACGTACGATTTATGCCAAGCTATATCACATATCCTTAGAACTACTTATAAATTCAACTATATCCGATTTTCCGGGTAAACAGTTTGGCACCTACAATAGGGCTAAGGGTAAAAGTGGTTGTTTGATACAAATTTGCAATACACACCAGTTTACAACTTCGAATTAGCAACGGCAAACCCTCGATTGATGGCTTTACCTATCGACCACGAAGCCGGCCTTCAAGATGAAACCAACAACTTGATACCCAGGGCCGGAAGGCCACTTAACGATGTCACTGAAGCTCGAGTCGAAGCACCTGAAATCCGAGTCGAAGTACCGCTAGATGTCAATTCACAAGTGGCTCTTGAGGCAAACCAACGTTCCGAACCGGAAAAAAGCATTCAGGGCGGTACTCGATCCGTAGCTCGAGACACCCATAACGTGGAGGAAATCAGAGTCAGCTTATGGATGATCTTCGAGATGTTACAAGTCCAGCAAATAGCGATAGCTCAGTTGCAGAGCCAAACTCAGGTACAAAGCAGGCCGGAGCCCAATCCGCTTCGATAAATCACCTACAGAACGGAGCCAGCCATAGTGAAGTAAAACGAGCAAGAATCGGGACTACTCCCGAAATTACTAAATTGCTCGAGGAACTTACAGAATGAGTCGAAGCCAATGATAAAAAATAGAAACATATAATTCCAGGGTCGATCAGATCCCGGGAGCTCTACCAATGATAAAAGGGTTGGATTCGAAAAAATTCATACAAAAGCCTTTTCCCTCGAGTGCAGCCCCAAAACCAATCCCCAAAAAATTATGTATGCCCGAAATTCCCAAATATAATGGTACGACTGATCCCAACGAACACGTCGCCTCTTACACGTGTGTCATCAAGGGTAACAATTTGGAAACGATAAGATCGAATTCGTGTTATTGAAAAAATTCGGAGAGACCCTCTCGAAGGGAGCGATGATTTGGTATCATAATCTGCCACCAAATTCCATCGATTCTTTTGCCATGTTAGCGGATTCGTTTGTAAAGGCACATGCTGGTGCCATAAAGGTTGCAACAAGGAAATCGGACCTCTTCAAAGTAAACAAAGGGGTAATGAAATGCTGAGGGAGTTCGTGTCCCGATTTCAAATGGAACGCATGAAATTGCCGCCAGTCACAGACGACTGGGCCGTCCAAGCTTTCACCCAAGGGTTGAACGAGCAAAGTTCAATAGCATCACATCGGCTGAAGAAACATTTGATCTAGTATCCAGCAATAACTTGGGCGGATGTACACAACCGATATCAGTCAAACATTGGGGTCGAAGATGACCAGTTGGGCCGAACAGAGGGACATCGACAGAGAGCAAAGGCTGAACAGAGACCGATATCAACCATACGTCGCAGATCGAATGAACAACGGTTCAACGCTCAATGCCGCTCGAAACAATCGAAGGGGTGATCGAGGACAAAATTCTCGGGGGCTTATGAGCAAGAGTGGCTTTGATAAATATGTCAATCCTATAGAGGCACCTCGGCTGTCGGAGTACAATTTCAGCGTCGACGCATCGGGCTTTGTATCGACGACCGGAAGAATCAAAGATACTAGGTGGTCCAGACCCATGCAAACCGACCCTTCCCAAAGGAACCCGAATTCGATGTGCAAGTATCATGATACGCATGGCCACATGACCGAGGATTGCAAACAACTAAGAGAAGAGGTAGCATGTCTATTCAATGAGGGCCACCTTCGAGAGTTCCTCAGTGATCGAGCCAAGAATCACTTCAAAGAACCAGCAAAAAAAAATAAACAAGAGGAACCTCTGCATATCATTCATATGATCATCGGTGGGGTCGATACTCCACAGGGACCCGTGCTAAAAATGCGGAAAGATACCGGCCATAGGGGAAAACCGAACTCGAGGCTATGTACCCGAGGGCACTTTATCATTTGGAATTGAAGAAGCCGAGGGCATCTCTCAACCTCACAACGACGCTCTAGTAATTTCTATCCTATTAAATAAAGTTCAAGTTAAGCGTGTCTTAGTGGATCCAGGTAGCTCTGCGAATATCATCCGATCTTAGGTAGTGGAGAAGCTCGGTTTACAGAATCAAGTCATGCTCGCAGCTCAGGTCTTAAATGGCTTCAATATGGCCAGTGAAACAACTAAAGGGGAAATTATTCTGCCCGTAAATGTGGCTGGAACCATCCAAAATACCAAGTTCCACGTAATTGAAGGCGATATGAGGTACAATGCCCTACTCGGAAGACCATGGATCCACAATATGAGGGCAGTGCCTTCGACTCTACACCAAGTGATGAAATTCCCTACGTCGGATGGCGTGAAGACAGTATACGGGGAGCAACATGCTGCGAAGGAAATATTTGCGGTCGATGAGATAACACCGATACCAACGTTATCGGCCTCAGAAAGGTCGAGCACAAAAGATAGGCGAGAAACCAAATAGCAATCACAGCAACCAGTCTCAACCGAATCGATGAAGCAGGAAATAGAAGACGACGAGGAAGAGTTTCCGACACCTCGAGCTCTCATCGTCCCTGACGATTTCGACGCCACCAAGTCGATGATCGAAGAACTGGAGCAGGTTATATTAATCGAACGTTTGCCCGAGAGAAAGGTATACCTGGGAACGGGGTTGACCCCCAAACTCAGGAAAAAACTTATTCAATTTCTTATTGATAATATAGATTGTTTTGCTTGGTCCCATTTAGACATGACAGGGATCCCACCATCGATAACAACGCACCAGCTGAGTTTGGACCCTAGTTTCAAACCGGTGAAGCAAAAAAGAAGACCTCAATTCGAGGTAAAACACGCATTTGTAAGAGATGAGGTAACTAAACTTCTCAAAATAGGGTCAATTCGGGAAGTAAAATATACCGAATTGTTAGCCAATGTGGTTGTAGTCCCCAAAAAAGGGAACAAACTTAGAATGTGTGTAGATTATAAAGATCTAAACAAAGCATGCCCCAAATATTCTTTTCCACTGCCTAGCATCGATCGCTTGATCTATGCCACAGTCGGCCACGAGATCCTCACTTTTCTCGATGCCTATTCCGGGTACAATCAAATTAGCATGAACCCGGAGGACCAAGAAAAAACTTCATTTGTCACTAAGTATGGAACCTATTGCTATAATGTAATGTCATTCGGGCTAAAAAACGCAGGGGCTACGTACCAACGCCTAGTGAATAAAATGTTCGAAGAACAAATAGGTAAATCGATGGAAGTTTACATTGATGACATGCTAGTTAAGTCTCTGCGCGCAGAGGACCATTTGACTCATTTGCAGGAAACGTTCAAAGTTTTAAGGAAATACAACATGAAGCTCAACCCCGAGAAATGTGCTTTCGGGGTTGGATCGGGCAAGTTCCTCGGGTTCATGGTGTCAGATCGAGGGATCGAGATCAACCCCGACAAAATTAGAGCCATCGAAGACATCACCGTCGTGGATAGTGTGAAAGCAGTGCAAAGGCTAACCGGACAGATAGCTGCCTTAGGCCGATTCATTTCAAGGTCGTCAGATCGAAGCCACAAATTCTTCTCTCTGCTAAAAAAAAGAACGATTTCACCTGGACTCCAGAATGCCAACAAGCACTTGAACAACTGAAGAGGTACCTATCGAGCCCACCATTACTTCACGCTCCGAAGACAGATGAGAAGCTTTACTTATACTTAGCGGTATCTGAAATCATAGTAAGTGGTGTCCTAGTTCGAGAAGAGCAAGGTATGCAGTTTCCTGTTTATTATGTAAGTCGGACCTTAGGAGAGGCAGAGACTAGATACCCACACTTAGAGAAATTGGCGCTTGCATTGATAAGCGCCTCTAGAAAGTTAAGACCATA